TTTGCACTTGCTAATCCCTCTGCTTTGAATATTCTACTTAGAGATCTTCATATACTTCCCTTCTCCTCATTATTTAAATCTCAGCTTAAATATCACATTCTTAGAGAGATCAGACTTTATAAACCCTCTCTAAAATGATGTCCTCATCATTTAATCATATCTCTATATTTTATTTCCTTCATGTTATATATCATTACCTAAAATTAACTTATTTTATTTGTTTATTGAGGATATTTCCTGAGAGCGAAATCATGTCTGTCTTGTTTACCTCTCTACCCCAGTCTTAGTACACAAAAGGTGTGCAATAAATACGTGTTCAATGAGTTAATGTGCATGCAAAATAGTGATTATATACACTGTCCAAAAGTCATGGGTCAGGGTCTGGTGTGGAGAAGAAAGTCTGATAATCACTTGAGGGGATGGGAACAGGTAAAAGTCATTCTGAAAGAGTCATGTGAGCTTGGACCAACTACGTCACCTGAATTTTCTCATCTAGACAAGCAATTTCTTTTTCAACATTATTCTGCCCTTGGTTTCTGTGTCTCTTCTTACCTCTTTGATTGATCCTTTGTTTTATTTTTATTCTGTCTTCTCCCTTCTATGTCTTAAATGTTCATTTCTGCCTTAATTTTTTTTTCTATTACCCTACATGCTTATGGACTTGAACTATGAGAGCAAACAAATCTCTCTCTAGCCCATGCTTTTCCTTCAAGCTTTAGATGTCCACCCAAAAATATCTACTGTGATATGCATTTCACCAGAAATGTAAAATGAATATTTTTACACAAACTTTACTATCCTAACCCTGTTTTTGTATTTAATAATTTGGTTAGTGATACCATCATCCACCTAGCATACAAGCTGGAAACTTCAGACATCTTTTACTTTTCCTCAGCTTCTCAGAAAACTCCTGTCATTTCTCTCTCCTAGATGTCCTTTAACTCTGTCCTTCTCTCCATTCCTACTGACCCCACCCATTGGCAGGCTCTCATCATCTCTCTCAAGAGACTTCTGCTATGCCTTTCTGATTCTGGTGCCTTCTGGCTCAGGACCATTATTCATACTATTTTGTAGTAAGCTTACAAAAATGAAAATCACATTCTGTTACTCATTACCTTAATAAAAGAAACAAAATCTTTGATGGCGTCCCATAACTTAGAAAACAAAGTCCTAACTATTTAGCAAGGCCTTTCCTTTCTTTCTAACTGGATCTTTAGCCACTTGCTATCTCCCTTAAATGCTACATCTTGGTACTCCTCAAATGGGGTGCAATTAGCAATTTGGGTAAATTAGTCTTCATTGTATAGGACTTTCCTACATACAGCAGAGAATATAGCATCTTTGACTCTTACCCCCTGAATACCAGTATCACCCTCTCCACATCCTCAGTCATGTTGACAACTAAAACTACCTCCACATTTCCAAACACTTTTCAGCATACTAACTTATGATGAGAACCATATAATCAAATCTTTCTATTCAATCTTTTCTAGGCAGATGCTGCTTCTAAGTCACTGTTCATATGGTTTCTACTGCCTATAATGACCTTCTTCTTTGAGTGGTAAGAGTTTACTCATCCTTAAAAGCGAGTCTGAATGTCTTCCTTCCTAGGAAAGTTGCACTCTACAATGGCAAAATCGGATACAACTCCCTGTGTGTTACCATAGCTCTTGACCAGCATCATCATAGAATTGCAAATATTGTTTACAGACTTAATTATCCTTCAAATGAACTGAAAGCTGCCTCATTCATCTTCCCATCCCCAACACTTAAACCAATAAATGGAAGAGAACTGATGTTTACTATGTTCTAAGAGAGTGTTTTAAAAAAAGAAAAGAAAAGGAAGTGAAGAAAAAAGAAAAAAAATGGAGAATATAGGAAGAGAAGAAAGAACAAAATACAGAACAAAGAAAAAGGAAAAAGAATAAAATGAAATAAAAGGAAGGTAGAAGAAAAAGAAATAAGAAAAAAGGAGAAAAGAAGATAAATTAAAGAACCAAAAAGAAAAGAGGGAGGGAAATGGAAAGAGGGAAAGGAAAAGGGAGAAAGAGAAAAATCAAACTAAGAAAAACATTAAAAAAGTAAAGAGAGGAACAGAAGAAATAGAAGGCATTAAAAAAGGAAGAGAGAAAGAAAAAGAAATAAAGGAAAAAATGACAAAGAAAAGAGAAAGGGTAAGACGGGAGACAAACTGATAGAAGAAAAAGAAGGAAAGAATCGAGAAAAAAGAATGATGAGAGATATCAAAAGAGAGACAAGGAAAACATTAATAATTAAAGAGAGAACAATAAGAGAAGGGAGGGGAAAAGAATAAGGGAAAAAGAGAGGGAAGGGGGAGTGGAGAATAATGAATAAAGAAAGAGCTCCGACAGCAAATAGGAGAAAGAAACCCTAATGAAGGGCCAGGGAAGTAATAAGTATCCTCTTTTCTGCTGAGAAATCTAACATGAACTTGGTTACAAGCTTTAACCTTTTTATCTGTCATTTTCTCTGGCTATTAAAGCTCTAGTATTAGTAGTTACATTGTAAGATCTGAGGTATATTATGCAGAGTCATTTTTTAGAATAAAATATGTCATTTTCTGTTCAATGTAATTTAATCCCAATTAAATTTATTAGGTTAAAGAAAAAAGATGATTGAAAAATTACCAACAATCCCACATAACTCAAACTTTTAACATTTGCTGCATTGAGGGGGGAGCATTTGGGGTTTTTTTAAACATGATTGTAAGCATCTAACACCTTTAATCAACATGTTTAATCTCCACAGTGATGTTCTCAAATAATCTGCAAACTCCTCAAGCACATACGTATAGTTACCATTGCCTGTATTATCCTTCTCTTCAGAATCCCAAGGCCGTATTTTGGTCTTTTCTCCTCCATTAACTGGGTTACCCTTTATCCTTTCTTTGGAGAGTTAGACACATTGATAACTCTCAATATTAATCAGAGAGCAAGTCCCCAAGGGTATAATGGAGAGCTCGAAATCAAGAGATCATGTAGGAATAAGAATAAATAGGAGTTGGTGGAAAAGGGGCAAAAGGGAGAAATTTTTTAAAAAGCCAACATTTCTAACTTTACCAAATTATTTTCCCCATCTATGTCCCTGTCCCTTCCCCCCATTAGTAAAATAAGTAAATTGATACTATCTCAAAGGGGCTCTACCAGTTTCAATATTCGTTGACTTGGATCCCTTAGGAAAGAGGAAAGAGTTTTAAAGACCTGGAAATGCAAAGATAAAAAAGCGTTGTTTCTTTTTCTTTTTCTTTTTCTTTTTTTTGCTAGTAGGAAAACTCAGAAATCTTAACCAAGAGCAACTTTTAAACCTTTACACTTTTAAACCCAGTATCTTCTCCCTCCAGACTACTCAACAGAATGTTTTAAAATAATCCACTGTCATTCTCCTTGGGCCTCAGTTTGAATTTTATTCATCCAAAGCAAAAGTGAGTCCTAGGGAGGCATTTAGACCTGGTTGGAGAGCCTGATTGGTTTTGCAGGAGATTAAACCAGGGATTTGGCTTTAGGGTTAAGGCTAGAAAATAAGTCCTTCTTATTCAGTTCTACATGCCCTCACTGCAGGAACCTGTTGCTTCTGTTTCTTTCTGCTCCATTAACTAATATTTCTAATTTGCTTATAACAACTCTCTCTGACCAAGAGGTATCCCAAATATATGGGCAGAAATGATGACCCAAGATGTCTGTAAAGACCAGCTATATGTTAAGTGTTTGTCAAACCCAAGGCCAGGCCACAATTATTAAATCTGCAATGAGATTTGTTTTGTTTAAGGGTTGCTTTTCCAAATATAAACAAAATTTACAGAACTAAAATAAAACTGTAATGGAAACTGCGTGGAACTTACAGATTTTTCTTACAAACACTATCGCCACCTACTGGCCAGAAAAATAATACGCACTAGGGATTGAAGAAAAAATAACTGCTGCCTTATGAAATGCCAGGAATAAAATCTAAAGAAATACTCTACTCAAATATCTTAATGAAAGAAAGAAAAAGGACAGTGATGGACGACAAAAGGACAGAAGTAAGTATGTAAGGCAATAAGGTAAAAATCAAGGAAGAAAGAAACCTAGCTACAGAGAAGAATTGTTAGAACAATGTTATACAGCAAGTTAATGAAAGAGCCTGGACCAGAACTCCTGTGTTCTGATTTCTAGACTGAAACTGCTGTAGTAGCCCCACACACACCAGAGTTGGAAAGTTTGCAAAATTTTTCACAGAATATCAAGTTAAAAGCACTTATAAGTACATCTCATCAACCTTTTTTCCAATATGACCGTATTTATAAAATCTTTACATGGTCAAAGGGCTATGCGGCCAAGTCTACCCTCTGCAATGCAAGAACTGCCCTGAAACTGAGCAGCATCCCAACTTCTCTCCTGTTGTTCCAGAAAAGCACTTCCTCAGCCTTCTACTCAATCTATTCTGCTTGTAGCTGAGGAGAGGGTCCAAATACTCAAAACATGGAAAGCACACTAAAGAAGGAAAAGATAAATGTGTTTTTGAATACGTCCCCCAAAACCCAGTGGTCTTTGACAAGGTGAAAGAAGGCATGAATATTGTGCAAGCCATGGAGGGCTTTGGGCCCAAAAATGACAAGAATAGCAAGAAGATCACCATTGCTGATTATGGACTACTCTAATAAATTTGACTTGTTTTATCTTAACTATCAGAACATTCCTTCTGGAGACCAGGAGAGCACCCCTCCATTCCATTTGCTTACAATATCCTACAATCTTCATGCTCTCGCTGCAGTTCTTTTGGGTTCCAAATTTTCCTTATTCCCTTCCTTGTCTAGTTGGATTGCAGAGAAATAAAACCAAATAACAAAAAATTAATTAAGAAAAAAAGAAAGAAAATTCCCCCCAGAACCTTTTCCCATGCATCTTATTTTATCTTTACCATTTCTACTTCCTCCCAACCCCTACCCTTACCCAATACCCAACAAAGTATCTGAGCCTAGGGCCAACTGTTAAGGCACTTACCAAGGTTGTCGGGCTCCATGATAGCCAGGACAAAGGTGTGAGGAAAGAGCATAACTGCGCCCTTCCTCATGCCATGAAGCTGCACGGTGTTGCCCTGGAACGTGACCCCATGCACATCAGTCTCTGTGCCCAGGCCAAGCAGGTGCCAAGCCACCATGTCACCCTTGCACATGTCCAGCCTGGGCAGGTTAGAGAACAGAAACCCATTAACGGCTGGAAAACAAAAACACAAGACAAGATGGGGAGATGAGACCAGACTACTCAAGCACCAGCCAGCATAGCATCAGCTCTGTATTACGGTTTCACACAACTTGAAACTGCTGAGTCATCCTCAACTCCTCTGCCTTTTTCTCTAAGCCACTTTAGTTCTACTCATGAAGATCTCTGTGTCTTTGAGATAAGATTATCACCCTGTTTGATAATCTTCTGGAATGACAATGACAATGCTGCTAACCCCATGATTCTGCTTTCCCTCCCTGTAATGTCCTGGTTGCAACTCTATTCAGTCTTTAAGCCCCAGCTCAGGCATTACCCTCTTCCAAGAATCTTTTAATTTGACTGTTCCTCATTAATGTTCTCCTCCTCTGAACTCTGTCTCAAAAGCTGTCCCACACAATTCAGCACTTAATAGTCAGTCTTGGGTTGTTCTAGAATTGTTTCATGGGTATTATTAGTCTCATCTTATTGCAAATTACTGAAAGTTCTTGCAAATTGAGACCATGTCTTCCCATTCATTCACTCACCCATGCACCCAATCACCTTCCCATTCATTTGGTAGTTCACTAACTCAATAAACATTTACTATGTATTAGACAGTATAAAGGATACAGAAATAAACATACAATACTTGCATTTAAAGAGACTACACCTTAACAGAAGTCAAAATCCATTTAACAAATAACTACAATATTGAGTGTACAAAACTTGCTATTAAAATTGACTGATTGAAATGCAATGTTCAAAAGAAGGTGTCATCACCCTGGGCTTGGCTAATAAGAAATAGTTTCATGAAGAAGGTAGCTTTTGTGTAGGGTCTTAGAGAAGGAGCAAAATTTACACAGACTGAGGACAAAGATGTACCGAAAGGGGCGTTTTAAATGAAGGGCCCAGCAATACTGAAGAATGAAATCAGCAAAGTACAAGGTATATTCGTGAAGACAAAAATGGTCTTACTTGGCTGAAGTATGGCATGAGGGAGCAAGGGTAGTGGGAGATAAGGGAAAGGGAGATAAGACTTAAAATGTATCACCCAGTTTATTCTTCACATACTCTAGTGGATTCTTTATGCATAATGCTCATTTCACAGAACTTTCTTTCAGTGTCCTCCATACTGTGTAACACAGGGCACAGCACAAGAAGGTGTAAATAGAAGACATGTTGTTTTAGGTTGAATCCCTTAATCTAGCTCATTTCTTAGACCAATAAAATTAGTGTTATCAAGTTGTCGTGATTATGGTTTTGGTTAGATTTTACTTGGGATCTCTCAGTTGTAGTCCAGGGCAAAAGTATTCCCCATACCATGCATCCGATTGGAGTCTTGGAAGCCCTCAATATCCTCTGAGAGGAGTCGGAAATCCAACATAGCAGTTGCTTGATTGTCTTTGCTGTACCAGCTCTTGTTTTCATCCAACACCGTGAAAAGGAGAAAGAATTCTTTATCCACTCCTTTCTGCAGATCCAGTGGAAGAAAATAAAGGAAATAATTACAATGGTTTCAGCATTTGTGTACTGTATAGCTGCAGATCCAAGAATTCCTGATTCTTTTCCATTTTCTCTTCCGGACTCAGAGTCAAACCCATATCTCCTGCCCAGAGCTGCAGTTGTTGCTAAGCAGTTTTTCTTCAGGTAATCTCAAATTGCAGATGGATAAAATAGGTCAGAATAAAAGGACAAAACTAGGGAAGAGGAATATATGAAAAAGGGAAGGGAAGAGGTACAGATTATGGGAGAGATCCTAGAATGACTTCGGGAGAGAAGTGGGAGAAAGCGCCTGACAGAGCAAGGGAGGGCTCTGAGGGAAATTAGGAAATGAAAGTAGTAAGAATAGTAATTATTACTGTTACAGCAAACACCTACCAAGTGCTTACTATGTGCCAGACACTGTACTAAGCACTTAATATGGATTATTTAATTACTCTTAACAGAAACCCAAGGTGCCTTCTTATATTGTTAACTTTTTCTTACAGATGAGAAAATTAAGTCAAAGAGAAGCTAAGTAACTCTCCCAAGTTAATACAGCTAGAAATGGTGGCTTGAATACAAAAGAAGACAAGCAAATATTAAAGCAGATTTAGGGATCGGGAGCAAGGGTTAGGGGCCACTGAGTTGAGTAAAGAGAAAGAGAAAGAGAGATAGAGACAGAGAGAGACAGAGACAGAGAGAGAAGAGGAAGAAAAGAGGGAGGGAGGGAGGGAAGAAAGGAAGGAAGGGAGGGAGGGAGGGAAGGAAGGAAGGAGGCTAAAGAAGAGGTAAATTTGGGAGTAAAAAAATAACATGCAAAATACCATGTGGTCACCAACTATTAATTTCTTATGCAACAGCTTGATTTTTTTTTTTTTTGTCTATTCCTTCACCAGTTCAATGCTTAACTCCTATCCAGCAACATAGCTTCAACCTCCCCCAGCAGGCTTTACAGCCAGACACCCTGGCAATACCTGCTTGCCATCTGTACCCAAGGCGCCAGCCTTGCACACCAGTAGAGGGCCCACTAGGCCAGAATTTGTATCTCTAATGGGATCTACAGCAGAGAAATACATCCATGTGAGACAAGCAGGATCCTGAGAAGTAGGACCAGCATGGGGAGGGACTGTCCAGCGGTATGTTACTTTCTCAAAGGACTTGGCCACCAAGCCAGGGTGAGATGACTCTGCAAGGAAAAGATGGGACACACATTTGGCTAGAATGAGGATCATCAGCTCCAAATAATGGAATAAAGATTGTAGACTACAAAGGCATTTTGGAACAGCAGCAACAGCAACATGGAATACTGAATATTGAAGAGGACTCTGGTCTATGAGTCGAGAAAGTAGAGTTTGGATTCTGGTTCTGCCACTACTTGGTACATGAACTGGGGCAATTTAAACTTTGCCAAGTTCTGGTTTTCCATTTCATAGACCTTCAGGATTAAAAGAAACTTTAAGACTAATTTAGAACAACTCTTACTGAAAACATATATTAATATACTCTTCCATCTCTATCTCTGCTTAAAACTCTCCAATAATGGGAGACTCACTACCTGGCATTATAGCCCATTTCATCTTTAAAGCTATGATATTTGAATATTTTTCCCCTTCCATATGTATATCTATGTGTGGGTGTGTATATGTCTTATATGTATGCGTGTATACATATATAAAAACACTAAGAATGCAATTTCTAAATATGGACACAGGGCACTGTCAAGCAATGCACAGAAATACATGTTTTTAATTTTCACACCATCGGTAATCAAAAAGTGCAAATGAAAATAGTTGGATAACTTTTAAATCTATTAAATTAGCAAAGATTTTAAAAATTATAATCATCAATGATGGTAAGAAGTGATTCAGATGGCACCTACCTTTTTTATACACCTATATAAAGGATAGGTGTAAATGGGAATAATCCTTTGGAAAAAAGTGTTGAAAAAATTTATCAAAAACTATTTATTAAAAAGATTCATGGCTACAAGTGAAATAAGGTATGCAGTAAAGACTGAAAAAGGATGTTCAACCTAAAGTAATCAAATAAACATAAATCAAAACAACTGTGAGTTTTATTGATGTTCCCCTACAAGACTGTAATTTTTGACAAGATTAAAAAGATTGCCCCTGTGCTGGTAAAATTGTAAAGAAAAAGACCCTCTTAGGTCCTACTGATAGCACTCCAAATCCAAAGGACTGCAAATCACTCCAGAGAGCAATATGAATGTAGGTACCCAAAATTTTAATGTGTGTACACTCTGAAGCAGCAATTTCACATTTCAAAAATATATTCTGAAGAAATAATCATGAAACTGTGCAAATAAGCATATACAAGGATATTTGTAGTATATCTTATAACAAGGGGGCATAATTTAGGATGGTTTTAACCTATACTTTCTTATTCATTCAATGTTCCTTTTTTAATTTTTCAAACGTACAGAAAATTTCTTTAAATAATAATACAATGATCACTCTACCACCTAGACTCTATTGTTAAAATGTTGCCATTTTTAATTTGTTTATATCTATGTGCATATGCACATAGATGTAGATAATTCAGTTTAGATAATTTAATTTATCTCCATCTATGTGTACATATACATACACAGAAAGAGTTTTTGTTTGCTTGCTTCTGTTGAATTCTTTGGAAGTAAAATGCAAACATCATGACATTTCATTGATAAAACATCTGTAATTATCTCTTATGTTACTATAATACCATTATCACACCTAAGAAAATATCATCTAACATTCAGTCTACATTTTTAAAAGTTCCAATTATCTTCAAAATATCTTCTAAAGCTATTTTTACAACTAGAATGAATCAAGGTTTGAACTTGCAGATTGCATTTGGTTGTTATATCTCTAACCACACCTCCTCCCATGATACTGATTTTTGAAAAGACTAGACCAGTTACCTTATAGAATATTTATTTATTCTAGATTTGTCTACGACTTTGTCCTTTATGTTTTCAGTATTTGTTTTAAATATTTCTGGCCTAGAATTATCATGTGTTAACATTCTCAGAGAAAACAAAAATTTAATTACCCAATAATCCTACTTCTAAGATTCTCTCCTGAGACATTAATTGAAAATGCAAGCTAAGTTGTATGCATTCATTCATGGAAACCTGACTTACAATATTAAAAAATACTGAAAAAAATTGACACGTCCACAAAATAAAGGGTATGGCAAGTCCATGTGATGAAGTATTACACAGTCATTAAAATGTGTATAATATTATAATGGCATAGGAAAACAGATACAATGTAATGGTAAGTGAAAATAGAATGCAAAACTATGTAAACTATGTGCTCTCATATTTCTATATATAGATTTTTATACGCATACAAAAATATTAAAAGATATATGAAAATGTACATGGAAATTTATCGATAAATGATATTTACCTTATAATTTTCTCTTTTTCAAATTTCCATAATATACATATTTTATTTGTATTTAAATATATTTAAAATAAGCTTTCTCTTATTATTGAGCACAACTCTATTTTGTTATTATATAATTCATTCATTCAATAATGTCCACACATGCAATTAATTCCACTTTCATCTCCTCCCCCAACCCCCATTTATTTTCCTTCCAGAGATATTTGCTACTACCTGGAACCCACATTTGTTGGAAACCCTGTTGGCTCACCATTATTGTACACAGTGCCCTCATAATCTTTTTCATAAAAGACTCCATGGGGCTGAATACTGAATGGTTGGGAGGCACGATTGTAGAAGACCACCTGGATAGTGTCCCCCACCTCAGCCCGGATCACTGGCCCTGGAAATGGGAAAGAAAAGCAATGAGAATGAAGACAGGGATGAACAAGGAGGAAAGAAACAGAAGGAGAGGGAGGGAAAGAAAAGGGAAGTGAAAGTTTAAAAGATAGATATCTATTTTTTTACAATAGTAAGAATAAAGTATATAACAATTTACAGTTATAAAAAGCACTATAAAATCCATTATCTTATTTTCATTCTCAAATATCATTCTTAGGTATAGAGAGCAGGGCTTATTAACTCTAATTTACAGATAAGCAAGCCTCATCTCAGAGAGATGGTATTTACCTACTCAAATTCAAATGGTTGATGAGCAGCAGAGTCAGGACTTTCATTCCACTGTCAGATCTAACACCATTTCCCCTAACTTTATTGTTGCAACTCCCATAGCTACATCTCCTAATGGGATCCATCTAAGATCTAAGCTCACCTCAATCTAAAATCAATTCTGAGCAAAGGCAATTATTATAACCTCTATACAAGTCCTGGACTAGGTGACCTAGCCAAGACTCCTGGACTTTTCTCTGCTTCTCTACCCACTACCTCTAACCTAGCTTGGGTCACCTTTAAAGATTACCAAAAGTACCAAGACTGAGCACTTACGTTGGCTTTAACCCTAAGTCAGAGTTTCAAGCTTAGTTTCTTACACAAATTTCAACCCAATGTTCTATCTCTGCTTAGACTGAGGACCCCTACTGAACCCTGGTCAATTATAATTCCTTCATACTCACCACCATTCCTCTTTTCTAAAGTGGATTTCTCCTCATTTTATTTCCCTTTACAGCTGATATAGGGCTTATTGTCCATTTTTAGATATAGAATCAACTGACACCACCTATCTACAGAGGTATGATCCATTATATGACTTTAATTTCCAAAGATTTTTCCCATCTTGTCTATTTTATTTCCTGATTCAACCATGTTACTAAACAAGGCTTAGAGTCTGACCTTTAGGAAACTATCTAACCTTGCTATACTTTTTCAATACTGTGTTTAGACCTTCTGGATACTTTCTCCAGAGTCAGATGCTAATTCTGGTTCTGCATCCCTCACCATAGCAAGCATGTCTCTATTTCATGCAGATCTGTTCCAGGCTCCAGATTGCCAAGAACCTGAACTATCTTACTGCTATATATAGCTCTTCAGGAATACTCCTAGAGAAGCAATTCAAAGAGTGTATACTATACAACAGTAGTTACTGAAAGACATTCACTGAAAAAGGTTCAGTGGAGATGCATTATGAACAAAAATAAATCCAAATTTCTCAGAAGTCCTGCAGCAAAATATACTATTTGACTATGCTTAACCAGTGATTTTCAAACCCATATAGATGCATAATCCCTTTTCACAAAACACTCATCCCTTGGGACTCACTTTGGGAGATGCTAGTTTTTAGTGGTCCCCTAAGCCATGTCCAGGCTTCAGTTTCTAAGTTTTCCTCACTTCTCTGGCTCTAGTCAATTAATTTAATAAGTTAAAGATTCCTCACCCAGGATTCCAAGATGCTTATCTTCCTCCACCTGTACCTTCTCCTGGAATGTCTCATCATGGAAGGCTTCATATCGGACTTTCCAGTAAGTGCCCCCAATTCGGCTGGAACTCTTCTGGAAGAACTTATCTGAGTCACTGTCATACAAGGAGAAAAATATCATAGGATTTCATTAGTTATCAAATAAACTCTTATCTTACCCTTGGTCTCACCAAGTTCTGGATCTTTATGGTTAGAAAGGACCTCATAACTCATCCTAGTTAACTTCCACCAGTGAAGATATTTCCTCTGGTAATACCATTAGCAAGTGATATACAGATTCTGCTTCAGCCTTTCCAAAGACAAAAATAAAACAAACAACAACAAAAAAAACCCTTCATTTTCAGAGGAGTTAATTTCCTTCTTATTGTTGGATAGTTTTAAGTATTAGAGTTTTTTTTATAGTAAATTGGAATATTCTTGCTTGTAAGTTCCAGACACTGGTACCAGTTCTGACCTTCAGAGTTATACAGCCTACATCTGTCCTTTATCATCCTTAGGCACTAATGAACTTTTCTCTCAAAATGAAATCTCACTAAGTTAGCAAGTTCATTTGGAGACTCTAGATGCCATGGTAAGACTAAAGAACCAACTTTTCTAGATTTTCATTATTTCCTAATGAAAGAATAAACATAATGGACGCCCTAGGATTTTTCCCCTAAGTCCTCTCCTAGTCATCTACCAAGTTCCTTTTCTGTGAAAGACCTGACATTACCAGTGCTCAGTGAGTTGGTATAACTTAAGACCTATCAATTGAGTAGGGCACTACCCCACCCCCAGTCTATCTTGCCCATATTTGCAGCATGGATAAGGTAGGAGAACTTGGACACATTCCTTCAAAAGGATGGGCATGGAATAGCCACAAGGCAGATTGCTTTTATTCTCCCTACATTTATCAGAGTGCTTTTTATAGCCTAGCTCAAATTCCTCATTCAGACTATGGAAAAGAAGGGAAGGAACAAGGAGGTAAAAAAAAATGAGTAAAATGAAGAAAAGCTGGCAAAAGGTCATTTCAACTGATGCAGGAACTGGTCATGCCTGGGCTTTCTTTTAGAACATTGCCAGGAATTACAGCAAGACCAACTTCAAACTCTCCATGGATTCTTTGCTTGTGATATAACATAAACCTGCAAAAAAACCCATTGCTTCTCAACATCGAGACCTTCAGGGGACCACAAGAACTTGGCTAACAATTGTGTCATATAACCCCAGTCAGATAATAATTTGGACAACCAAGTGAAGTGAGGAATTTCTGAGAGAAAGATACTAGGTGTTTTTGGCTGGGTCCAGGAGTAGGGAGAAGGAACCCATTGCTTCTTACCTGCCTGGCTCTCTCAAACTCTTCCCAGTACTCCCATCATGTCCCATCGGGCCATAGTCCCATTGAATCTCATGGGCCTCAATGAAGTACTGCCGAACTTTGCCTGTGAGCTTTTCCACAGAAGGGGCCATGGAGCAAGTCCTGACCTTGTAGAGTGCCTGCATGCCATCTAAAGGAAGAACATCATGATTGGCCCCATTCTGCCCACAGGATTTCTACTCAGAGGATTCACCTTCCTTCTTCTAGTGTTTCCTTCTCCTATGCCCCACTAGTCTCTTTACCCTTGCCCTCAAATAGGACCCTTTCTCTTGTGCTTAAAGAGCATGATTGGGAAAGCGAGAGTCCAGATGGAAATTCAGGTACCTCTACCTGCTCACGCCACCACTGACACATTTACCAGATCCTCATTTTTGCCTCTGCAAGAGATTGACACTGTAGCATCATCACAGAGACTGAAGTCAGGAGACCTGAGTTCAAGACCAAGATTTATTATTATCTGTAGGACCTTGGACAGGTCACTTCTTCAATCTGAGCTTCCCTTTTTTGAAAATGAGAAAAATAGGGAAATTCACTTCATGGGACTGGTGAGAGTGTCAAATTAAAAATAGGAGTAAATTATTAATAAAATAGTAAGCTCCTAAAATAATGGAACATCTTCTATCCATAGAGATGAAGCTTCAGAATTGGAACTGTCAGGAAAATGCAGATTGTAAGTAGTGTCTCCAAATATGGAAGATACTACATTGAAGCAAAATGGCAATGGATGATACTAACTTCTATTCACTTAGCAATTTATGGAGGTCACTAGCTATATTATCTCTTTAGAGACCCATGACATCCCAGGGAGATTCAAAATTTGTAAATTAGAAATCTGAAGTATGAAGAAGAAAGAGAAAAATATATTCATTTTTGCTAAATCTGCATTATATTCTAGGCCCAGTGCCAGGTGCTTTACAGATATTATCTCTGTCAGTCTTCACAACTATTATGTGAAATTGACTTTTAATATTTTCTTTTGCAAATGAAGAAACCTAAGGATCATAAAGGTTAAGTAACTTCCCCAAGGTTGGACAGCTAGTCAGAGATGAAATTGGGATTTAAGCTCTCATCTTTTAACTATAGATTTTAAGTTCTAATTTTCTTCCCTTATATCCACTATCTTGGACACATCATCTCCCTTGTCTCTAAGATTCAAAATCACATTATTTCTCTAAAACTTCATTACAGCTTTATGAGGTAGGTATCACTGATGTCATCTTAGATGAGGAAACAAAGGCTCAGAAAAGTGATGTGACTTATCAAAAGTAAGTAAACAATGGATGGAGCCAGGTTTTGAATCTAGGCTTATCTGGCTCTAAGATCCTTGTTTGTTCTACCATCACACTGCTTCCTTAACTCTAATCCATATTTATGTTCCCTTACATAGAAAGCACTGGGGGCTAAGGACAGACCTTAGATAATGAAGCATATATAACTGGCCCCTATTGGGTCAAACCTAACACCAAAGACTCATTATCCCACCAGTGCATAACGCCTTACCTACTCAAATCTACTTTCACATACTCACATACCATTTTTCTGACACCCTCATAATTTACAATACATCAAAGAATTCTAGAAAGACCAATACATCAAAGAATTCTAGAAAGTGAGAGCTGAAGAAAATTTCAGAGACTATGACCAATTTCCCCATTTTGCAGATTTGGCAAATGAGGCCTACAAATGGGAAGGGACTTGCCCAGAGTCATAAAATGAGTTTTTCCACAAAGCAAAAACAACAACTGAAACTTTCTAATCATGTATCTAGTGTTGTTTCCTTTGTCTTATATGTTCCTCCTCCCCTCTGATGCTTCTCTATGCATTGCTCCACAGTGCAATTATTTTAACTTTGCTCTCTCTGAAAATAAAACTTTCCTTCCTACTGCTGTTGGGTTCCAACTAGAGTATCACCCACGATATTCCATGATCTCTTGCCAAATCCTTACTCTCCTTTAATTAACATCTTCTTCATTCCCTGCTCAATCAGTTGAAAATAACTCCATGGTCTTAATTACTTTGAATTCTAAGTGGAAAAAACAGCCTAAAAGTCTACCTATCCAAGCCTAGGCTATATTATGTCCAAGGTGGAAAAGATTAAACCCAGAGAGATGTGACCAAGGTTACCCAGCAAGTTAATGGCAGAACTAAACAAAATACCCTCAGTTCTCTGACTTCTAGTCTAGCATCAAGTCTAACCTAGTCTATTCATCCTTTATTCCAAGATGCCTCACCCAGAAGACCTAACTCATGGCTCCAGAACAAACACCCAGTAACTTGTTAACAATTATCAACACCTCCTTCCTATAACCCAAGGGTCAGAAATGTTGGATCTCACCTCGAAAGTGACTGTTCACTTGACAACTAATTAACCAGGTACCAGGTTTTTGGGGCACCATCTCAGCAGTCACAAAAGTGGCTGGAAAGATGTTAGCCACATCAGTGCGGTGCCCACGGGTGGTCAACATCTGTCCATGGAAAAAAGCTGTGTGGACATCCACTTCATTGCCCATGCCAAACAAGTGCCAGGCCACATGCTTCTGTGCACACATGTTTAGCTCTGGTAAATTCCCAAAAACAAAGCCATTGATTGCTGCAAAAGAAAACCCAAAGAAATGTAAGAATTAGGAAACAACAGCTCAATAGGAAAAACTTACCATCTGACATTTAGTCAAGGTTCTAAAAATCACACCGTGCTGACCATGTGCATTCATCTCATTTAAATCTCACAAATACCCCTGGGAAGTAGGCAGATATTATTAGTCTCACTTTTAAAAAAGAGAGAGAATTTCTGTATTGCTGTTTCCAGGTATGAGAAGAAGGATGTTGATAATTTGATGGGTATTGCATTCAATCTGTAGATTGCCTTGGGTGGGATGGACATCTTGACAATATCAATTCTTCCAATCCATGAGCAAGGAATGTTTTTCCATTTGTTTGCATCATCTTTGATATCTTTTGTAGTTCTCATTGTAAAGGTCTTTTACTTCTCTGGTTAGGTGGATGCCGAGTCTATTTTGTGACTATTGTGAATGAGATTGTGTTTTATATTTGGTTCTCTGCCTGCTTGTTGCTGGTGTACAGAAATGCAACTGTCTTTTGCACATTGATTCTGTCCTCTGAAACCTTACCATAACCGTTTATCAGTAGAGGGAGGCAACTTGGTAGACTCCCTTTGGTTTTCAAGGTATAGAATCGTATCATCTGCAAAGAGGGATTATTTAATTCCTCTTTTCCTATTTGAATACCCCTGATTTCCTTCTCTTGTCTGATTGTTTTGGCTAGGACTTCCATCACTATGCTGAACAGGAGGGGTGAGAATGGGCATACTTGTCTTGTTCTCATTCTTAGGGGGAATATTTACAATATCTTCCCATTGATCAACATGTTGGCTGTGGGTTTATCATAAATGGCTCCTACTGTTTTGAGGAATGTTCTTTCTATGCTTAGGTGTTCAAAGGTTTTTATCAAGAAGGGATGCTAGATTTTGTCAAATGCTTTTTCTGCATCTAATGATATAATCATATGGTTCTTGTTTTTACATCTGTTAATGTACTGAATTACATTTATGGTCTTGCTAATGTTGAACCAGGAATGAAGCCCACCTGGTCATGGTGGGTGATCCTTGAGATGTATTGTTGGATTCTATTTTCTAGACTCTTGTTGAAGAATTTTGCGTCTATGTTCATCAAGGAGATTGGCCTATAATTTTCTTTCCTTATTGTGTTTTTGATAGGTTTGGGTATCAGTGTGATGTAAGCTTCATAAAATGATTCGGGGAGAATTCCATCTTTCTCAATTGCCTAGAATACTTTTGATAAGATTGGTATCAGCTCTTTCTTGTATGTCTTATAGAATTCATATGGAAACAGAACAGAGCACAAATAGTCAAAACAATCTTCAGCAAAAGGAACAAAGTGTGAGGTATCACACTTCCAGACTTTAAACTTCATTACAAGGCTACAGCAACTAAAATAGCCTGGTATTGGTACAAGAATAAAAACATAGACCAATGGAGGAACCAGACAGACTCCAGAAGCAAAAACATGGCCTCTCATCCAATTCATCTTTGACAAATCCACTGATAAAAATCACTGAGGAAAAGAGACCATATTTAGCAAATGGTGCTGGGAAAACTGGCTGGCCACATGCAGAAGAATGAAATGCTACTACCCATCAAAAGTGAACTGGATAAAGAAAATGTGGTACATATACACAATGGAGTATTATGCAGCCATAAAGAAGAACAAAATAATGGACTTCACAGCAAATTGGATGGAGTTGGAAACCGTCATACTATGTGATCTATCACAGAAACAAATAACTGAATACCACATTCTATCATGGTATTGGACCTTGAACAATAATCACATGAACACAAGAGAGAGATTGGTAGTCACAGAGCACTGCTAGGAGAGGGAAGGAGAGAGGAGGGTAGGGGACATGTGACAACACAAAGGGTACCAGGTCTACTACTAGGGGAAGAAGGGCCAGTTGGAAGCCCAAACTTCACTGCATGCAGCCTACCTATGTAGTCAATCCTCACTTGTACCTCACTTCTTTATAGTAAAATAAATTTAAAAAGAAAAAAATAATAAACAAACGTCATCAAAGTTTTAAAAAATGAGAAAACCAAGGCTCAGAGAGGTAAAGTTATTTCTCTCTCAAGGCCATAGAGCTATTAAGTGGTTAAAGCCAGTATTTTAACCCAGCAATCTGAGGCAGCTGTCTAAGGAATGGGGCTATTTTTCAGGCTACTCTTTCTGGTTTCATTCTTAAATTTCTACAGCACAATTGTCAAATTAGCTGACTAATTAATATGGCTTTTATAATCAATTGGTATAAAACTGAAGAGAAATTTGAATTGTCCAAGCCATCCTTTACATCTTCCCTCTGAGTTTTCACCTAGCCTTGGGACTGCCTGGCTTTGAACCCACCCTTGTCACCAAAGGTAGGTAAACCGCATCCTTAAATAGTAAAAACAAAATCAACTTGTTTCTATTTATAAAATCAGCTATCCATTTATGCCTCCAGTTTCGCCTGTAGTTTGTTTTTAATTTAATTAATATGGTCAATTCACTTATAGACATAATCCTAGAGTAGGATGGGGGCTATATGAGAAGTAGTTTGAAAGTAACCATTTTTCTACACAAAGTAAACAATTATTCTAGCTTACATCCTTTTTAAAACAAAGCAACGTTAATTATGTCAGTAGGCAACCCTCATCAAAGCAGCTAAGCATGTAGTATGTAACTTTGGAGTCATTAGCCTATGTGCTATTCCACATTATGAGGCACGGTAGCCTAATGTAGTCAGATCAGGGCTGGAATATTAGCGTTGCCATTTACCTGCTACATAATCTTAGGAGCCTCAGTGTCCTCACAGGTAAAATAGAGAAAAGCCATTTACTACTCCTAGTCCTTGTGAGGATTAAAAAGGATGAGACATGTGAAAGTACCCACCAAATATTAGGCCCATTGAAACCCCTCCATCAGTGTTTCAGCTCACCATGCATCCTGTTGCTCTCCTGAAAGGCTTCATCTTCTTTGTCCACTGAGGCAGGATCTGAGCAGTAAGTGGCAATGTTCTCATCAAGATGCCAGCTTAGGTTCTCATCTACCACACTGAAGAGCAGGAAGAAATCATGGTCCACATCTTGTCGCCGAGGAGGGGATTTCCTATCCAGGGCTCCTAGGGCAAGTAAGAAAAGTGTCCTTGAGAAGTTCCTTCCCTTAGCAACAATAAGCTGAAAGGGGTACTAATAAGAAAGGAATAGGAAAAGAGGGGGCCTCAAGAATCTGTCAGCACCAGAAAAGCAGTTATAATCTTTTAATGTTAATTTCAATTTCCAAACATCCCAGATAAAACCACCAGTTAAACCTAGGACTTGAAGGTGGGACACACAGGATTTAGAATAATTCCCCCCCTCCAATACTGCCTGTGTCTTCCACCCAGAGTCTAAAGCTGACCACATTCCTGCAACTCCCTGGTCTTTAGACCAGACTATTTATTGAGTATATCCTATTCTCAACCAATTCCTTGGTCTTCTCCAAATCTTGATGGCCGTACTTTCATTGTTGTCCATACCTACACTCTTGCCACACCTTACTTCAATGTAATTTGATTCCCATCATGACTAATTTGAGTTTTAAAAGTGAAGAAAAAAAAAACAAGAAAGTAGAAGAGATGTTTGGTTTGAGTTTTTTGCTTTTTAAAAAAGTAATGTAATAGAAAAATTGGTGGAAAGTGAGTTTGGCAGGGTTTACTCCTGCTAATAAACAAGGGTGCTAAATTAACATTTATTGGGCTGATAAGTGATGCAACCATATCACTGTTTTCCCTGGATATCCCAAACTGCATATTAAAGCTCATCTTTGGGGCCTGTACCTCTTTTACAGGTGATGAGGGGCCCTATGAGGCCAGTAGCAATGTCTCGAGGAGCATCTACATGAGAATGGTAGATCCAGGTGAGGCATGCTGGGTCAGCATTGGTGGGTGCATGGCCTTCTGGAATGGTCCAGTTGTAGATATGGCTGCTCCCTGGGAGAACAGAGTCATCAGCTTTCAGCCTTCCAGAGGTGCCATCTGGGTATAGGGAGCCTAGAAAATGAAATTACGCATGTCCAGTCCCAGAGTTAGTGAGACAGACCATGGGCAGATATAGAAGCCAAGAATGGATTGACATATATGAGACATCTAGGCACAGTCTATAAAATATAGAGGTTTAAGGTCCAGCACAGTGTTCCTCACAACCAAAGGAGAGCACAAATTTAGGTAACATGTAGCCAAACAAACCCCATTCCTCAGATTAACATTGGGTGGAATGGTTGCAACCACTGGCAAAGTGCTGTGCTAGGGAAAGTGCTACTTGGCCTGATTTAGTAGCTCCCTAGTGCTAAGTAAGTGGCATGGAAGCAAGGTAAAAGAAAGAATCACTTCCATTTCAGTCTACAGTCAACTTAATGATCAGTTGGTCCACTTCCTCATTGTGTGGAAGAGAAAACTGAGGAAAAGTAACTTGTCCAAGGTCATGCAGGGAGTTAGTGGCATCAATTGTATAGAGCATTGGGCCAGGGATAATGAGAGGTACAGATAAATAACAAATAAGATAAATAAACTGAACTCCCTCTTAAGAAAAAAAATAATGAACCTTTCTAAAGACTGTGACACTAAAACAACAATCTTTTACATTCACAGCACTCCCTTATCTTTTCAAAGCATACTCATTATATGGAAATTCCATTCAAGCCGCTCCTTGTAGTAAAAGACAGGTTGTATCTTGACATTCCTAGTAAAGAATCTGAGGCCCAGAGAGAGACAATGGCTTACCCAAGTCACACAGTATATGAATAGCAGAGCTAATACCAATACCCAGCCATGTTTACTCTGAGGAGAGTCTTTGCCATCACAGATCAATATGGTAGAGAAGACAATCCTAACTCGCAGCCTTTCTCCTTCAGATGACACTAAAAGAAAAGTGTAACTGATGGGGATGGGAAAAAAAATAAGGGAATGGTTTACCTTCAGAGTCTTTCTCATAGAAAACGCCATGGGGATGAATGGTATAGGGACGAGTGGCAAAATTCTTCAAGTGGATAAGGATGACATCTCCCACCTCAGCCTGCAAGACTGGCCCCAAAAAGCCCAACCAGGCTGGCTGGGCCACTTCATCCACATATGAGTCATCCTTATATTCTTTATAAATGGTCTTCTTGTAAATTCTTCCTATCCGGTTCTTGTCAGACTTTAGGAAGCTGGAAGCCACTCTGAGAAAGAAGAGTCGCAATTTTGCCACCATATTCAAGCCTTTGGGGAGTTATTTTCTAGAGGAGGTTGACCAAAAAGTATTCATCCTTGTTTAGAACAAAACAAGAGGAAATGGGATTATGCTAATCAAAACATGAAAGTTTTAGGTTTAACCGTTAGAAAGTGGGAGGTAGTAAGTTGAAACATATGAAATTGCTGATCTTTGATTTCACATAGCTCATCCCAATAAACGCCCCCCTAAAAAAACAGAATTTATTTATTAAAATACTGTTTGTTTATTCTTACATGTTTAAACTTCAGTTACCTTCAAAGTACTCTCAGTTTGATGCAATACACCTATCAAGATGCTTTTTTTACTGCTCAAAACTGTTTCTGATCTCATCAGTTTTGATTCTTTTTAGTGCATTTGATACCTTTTATTTCTTCCACATCAGCAAAACATTTTCCTTTGAGGACTTTTTTCATTAGGGAAACAAAAGAGAAACTCACTCAGGACAAGTTTGGGTAAATAGGGAGGGTGGAGCATGGGGGTCATTCACTCAGCAGGATGTGGACAGGTGCATTGACATAGTGGAAGGTCCAGTCACCAGTTTGCCACATATGCAAAAAAAATCACTGAAGTCAAACACAGCATCTCACAACAATACTAGCTGATACACTGATGTTGTTAGGTTCCTAGAACACCTACCTAGCAGGAAAAGCCTATACTACAAGAGGCCCACCCTCAAAAAAAGATAATTCCGGTTTTGGGGGGGTCCCCCTTGTATAGGAACCAACTGTGGACAACCAACTGTGGACTGATTCTTTAAGTGATCAACTCCCTGTCAATATGGCCTCACTAAGCATTATCCTGATACATTTGGAAGGCCTTAGAGCTTAGTGGTTATGGCCACAAGCTCTGGAGCCAGTCCACTTGGATTAAATGCTGACTCTGCTACTTCCAGATTTGTGAGATGTTGAACTTGTTACTTAACATTTCTGTGCAGTTTATCCATCTGTAAAATGGAGATAGTCACAATTCCTAACTCAGACAGTTGTTATTGGTGACTAAAAGAATTAAAATACATAAAGAGCTTAGGAAAGTGCCTGGCAAATAGTAAAAGCTCAATAAATGTCAACTATAACTATTAGGGATAGGGAATAATGAAGTTATTCGCTCATGAACAATTTTTTAAAAATTTTAGATTGGGGGTACAAGTGCATGTTTGATAATGGGTATATTGCATACTGATAGAGATTGAACTACTGGTCCCTAAATTGTGAACATTATACATGATAGGTAGTTTTTGAACCCTCGCACCCCCTCCTGGTCTTTTGGTGTACTTAGTGTCTATTATTTACATCTATATGTCCACGAGAACCAATAGTTTTTAACTCTACATATAAATGAGAACATCTGATGTTTGATTTTTTGTTTTTCAGTTAGTTTACTTCGGATAATGGCCTCCAACTCCATTCATGTTGATGCTAAGGATGTGATTTTATCAAGAACTATTTTAATACAGGGACTCTGTGGCTCTAAAACTAGATGGACGATTTGGGTCAAAAAAGACAGAGCTGCTGTTCTGACTGTAATTATTAGAAAACTCAGAGATGTTACAGTAAACTTTGGAAAACTCTAAGGTTTTGGAGAGACAAAATGAGTCAAGGCAACACAATATTATATTTAATACATTGAAAGGAGGGACCCTGAGAAACTTAGAATAAACTTACTTCACATTTTGCTTCAGCATAACCATTTTTGCTTAGACTGACATGCTTTGAATCTAGCACAGGTTAGACATAGATCAATAAATTTCCAATAGGCAGGTTTTAGGAAGCGTTCAGACATTTTACTGCAGGCCAAGCTGGCAGCCTACCCCATCCCCTTGGCAAATCTCCATCAGATGCAAGACAAGGACAGCCCAACCTTTCACTTCATGGTTTAGCATAATTATCTCTAAGACACTTTCAGGTTTCTTGTCAAAGGTGAAAGGTCAAAGATCACCCCTTAGCTGGTCGAAGCCATAGAAAAAGACCATCTTTTTGTTAAGGAGCTTGTGGATTGGAAACGTCTAACAGGTTTCTTGCAGAAAAAACCCTCCCCTTGTCTCCTCCCATCTAGCCCACCGCCATGCCAACATGGCAGCAATCATGTGACTAACCCACCCATCTGCCAGTACCTGTAATTACCTGCCCCTTCAAGATGACGTGAAGCAGACCACACCACCAACTCACCTTAATGACCTTCCCCCATCAAAGGGAAGAATTAAAAGGACTCAACCACGAGGATCCAGCCACCATTTACCTTGCTAAGCTATGGTGTAGCCATGTGATCTTTGAGCTATGGCCTGGCCATGTTTTCTTAAGCTTTGGTCCCATTCCCTACCTTAGGGAGGTAAATCTCCTCTTTCTTTCTCTCTAATTTACTTTCTGAATAAACTATGTTTTCTAATCTAACTTCTGTGTACTTCTTTGCATCTTTCTCACAGCACTGGATAGCGCACCAGACACCCCACACCTCCAGCGGATCTGACCTTACATTCTGGAGCCCCTACTGGGAATGTGACCTAACATATATCATTCACTTTTTTCAACATATATTCATGGAACATCTGCAAGTTTCTAAAATCAAGAAAGGTTAATTCTGTGAAATCCATGAGAGGCCATGTGGTGAAAAAAGTAACAGCTTTGCATCCCTAATACCCAGGTTCAAATGCTTGCTCTTCCATTTACTAGCTATGCAACTTGGGACAAGTCACTAGACTTCCCTGAGCCTCTTGCAGAAAAAACCCTTCCCCTTGTCTCTTCCCCTTTTCTCACCTATAAAATAAAGATATTGATATACACCTCCTAGAGTTTCTGTGGGAATTGAGACCAAGTACGTAAATTTCTAGCATGATTATTTCCTTGATTCTAAAGCTTACTTTCTTTTTTTACACTTTTTCACATATCTGAAATCAGTATACAGTAGTTCCCCCAAACTATAGAAGCAAAGTTTTACCCTACATATTTTATAAGCATTGTACATATTTTGTGTGTTTTTTAAGCTAAGCAGATATTAAATCAGCATTGTGGATATTACCTTAGAATCAAGGAAATATATAATTGTCTTTGAGATCCTAAAAATGCTAAGGCACCTCAGTGTGAGAAAGCCAACACCAGATGGGATGCTAACTCCTAAGTCAACTTGCCCTCTTCCCAGAAAGCATGCCACTGGGTGTGTACAGCCCAGAGAGATCAGGAGCTGGTTGCTACCTCATCCTGGGAGAGGGCTTTTAAGAGGCTACCTCCTGACCTCAAGAGTACCTCCCAAAATCCCACTCTAATACCACAAGACATTAAACTTACATGTCACTTTCCAGAGGCTGGTTCGTTATGACATTTCTTCCCTTGGGAGCATAGTTCCACTGCACATCCCGGATACCCAGGTAGTAGACTCGAGTGATCCCATCAGTCAGTTGGGGCCACAATGATTGCATGAACAGCAAAGCCCAAAGGAGGTGACCTGGCTTCATAGCCCACATTAATCTGGGAAACAGGCAAATGAAAGCTGCAGGTGTGGAAGAAAGAAAACAAAGGGGCTTTGCATATGTGTGGAAAACTGAAAAGACAAGAGCCAGATCAAGTGACTGAGAAAGCAAAACCCAATTTGCCCAATTTCTTTAGCTTACCTGGTTTTTTTCAGTTCATGAAATGTTCATTGATCTTTACCCATCAGACTTTAGAGGGCAAAGTTAAAAAGTCACCTGTGCTGCTAATCACATATCACTTTCTTCAGAAGAGAAGTGTGGATCCAATTACTTCGGCACTGTAGAAGGAAGGCTGTGCTTTTGCCCAGGAATCAGAAAATCAGGCACTAGAAGTCTGATTGGGCCACTGACTCACTTAATGCCTAAATCAAGTCACTAATGCTCCCTTTGCCTCTGTTTTTCCACAGGCAAAAACGGGGAAACTCACTGTTGCCATTCACATACTCTATAAATTGTGTTTAAAACCAAATGAGAATAAACCAAAAGGCGTTTATTACAATATTAATAAACCCAAAACGGAAACAGCAAAAATGTCTGTGAACACTAAAATAAATGAATAAATTGCATTTTATTCATACAATGGAATTGTATATAGCAACAATAATAAACAAACTATAACTATATACAAAAACATGAATGACTCTCATAAATATAATGTTGCAGGAAAAAACAAAGTGTCTGATATCATTTATTTAAAGTACAAAATGAGGCCAAAGTAATCCATGTGGTTAGAAGCAAGGGCAGTTTGAGGCAGGGCTCAATGACTAGACAGGAAAGCGGAGGAAGGTTTCTAGGTAACGTGCCATTTCTTGATCTACTTGCTGGTTGTATAAACGTGTTCAGTTTCTGAAAATACATTGAGTTATAAACTTAGTATTTGGGCACTGTTCTGTGTATGTTATACTTCAAAAGTAAAAAATGAAATAAAAACAAATATGAGGCTGGGCACAGTGGCTCAAGCCTGTAATCCTAGCACTTTTGGAGGCCAAGGCAAGATTACCTGCTCAAGGTCTCGCCTGGGCAACTTGGCAAGACCTCGTCTCTACTATAAATCAAATAAATTAGCTGGGCGTGGTAGTGTGTGCCTGTAATTCCAGCTGCTTGGAAGGCTGAGGCGGAAGGACTGCCTGAGCCCAGTAAGTTGAGGCTGTGGTGGCCATGAGCATGCCACTGCACTCCAGCCTGGGTGAGACTTCAACTCAAAGAAAAACAGATGAGGAAAATATTTTTAATTTCCCAGAAGAAATGATCTGTCTCTGCTGGTTCCCAAGACTATACACAAAATCAGACCCAAGGCTCTAGTCTCTCATTTTGGTATATAAGCCAGAAAGTTAGACTTCTCAGGCTGGGATAAAGCATTCAGTCATACACACAGCTACAATTTCATTTTAAGGGTCTTAAATCCCCAAAACACAAACAACATTGTGCAAACACACACACAGTATTGCATATACAGGCACATTCATTTTCACCTATAAGCAAAGATGCATACACTTTCATTTTCACACAAAACCACTTTGTCACACAGAGCCTAAGTTACCTTCAAAATAATGATAATAAGGGTTCAGCATTCGCTTATGATGGAACATTTATCATAATACTGTAGGAAAGAGCTTGGCAGTAATGTGACACTGCCAGGGGATGGGGGCACATAACATCAATAGGGGTACCTGATCTCAAACCAGGTGAAGTGGGTACCAAAGGGAGGCCCAAACTTTACCTGTACGATGACAACTTATATACCTAACCCTGAATTGTATCCCACATATTTAAAATAAAAAAATAATGATAATAAATTTATATTTATTGTGAGTGCATGGTGCATCTCTTCTAAGTGTTTTGCATAGATTAAATCATTTAATCCTCACAACCACCCTATGAAGTAGATTCTAATATTATCTCCATATTACAGAAGAGAAACTACAGAACACAAGTATAAAGTAATTTGCCCAAGGCCATCTAATTAACAATACATAGACTTGGTATTTAAGCCCATGAAGTATGACTCCAGCATCTATGATTTTAACTACCAACCATACTATACTACTTTTCACAAAAACATGTATATACACATGTATATACACAGAGAACATGCATATGCCCATAGCATCAGCCATACCTACGGAAAGAAAACTGTACATTCTGAAAAAGAAAATAATATGTTGTTATTGTCACTTTAGAATATATGTATATTCATACACACACATACATACTCATATGGGCAGAGATACACCTAATTAATCGCATTCATAATAATGATAATAATATCATTGTTGATGATAATAGTTACTACTTCACTGAGAGATTACTATATAGTAGGCACCATGCTAAATGTTTTATATAAACTGCACTCACAACTTGAAATCAAAAAAATAATTAATAAATAAATAAATGTTTTATATAAGTTATTTCACTAAATCTTCAACCTAAGCACATGAAATAGGTATTATTAATCAAAAAATATGTACAGACTCACATATGGATAGAAAATCCCTAGATATTTCCCCAGGCTAGGCCCTGATATTTACCCTGATTAAGAAACAGATCTATACACTTCCTTACAAACTCTCATACTCCTTCATATACAACAGTGACCCAATTGTTAATCTCCAGTATCCATATAACATTTGACAGAAAGTTCTTGATGTAAAGGATATTCTATTTGGGGGGTTCTTGTTTCCAAAGCTTGGCTATCCCACTGACCAGTTGTACAGCCTTGGGTATTACTCAATCACTCTGAACCTGCGTTCTTATCTGTTAGGTAGGTATAATAATATCAGCCTTGGAGAAATAAATCAGAAAGCTTACATAAAAATGTCTCAGTATAATTCGTATTTGGAACATAGCAGATAGTAGTAACTGCTGATTTCCTTCCTCTTCCATCTTCTTTCTGATTAGTTTGTTAATTTATCCTTACAGTCTTCCATACACCATACTTTTCTATATTTCTACTTCAAGGGATAACTCAAATACCAACTACTCCAGAAGGTTACGTCTAGTCTCTCCATGTCACTGTTCTCTGAAGGACTACTTACCCTCTATAGCACCCAATTATATTATCAGACTTTGTATTACTGTTACCTTTCTGCCTCTTGAGCTGCTTCATGAACTGTCTTTATTTCCTAGGTTCAACTATAGACCCCTTGAGAATGGATGTCATGTCTTATAAGTCTCTGTGTATCTGTTATCAGATATAGTGATGGGGATCCAAAGATATGCCATAACAGCTACTGCTAAAGTGACATAAAGAAACACAAGCATACATACATTTTCCTACCAGTTGGCTCTAATTCAAGTTCTACCACTAGTTTAGAGTGACTTTAGGCAAGTTTCTTCACCTTAGTTTCCCCATCTCTAAAGTAATAAACTATATAGAGCTGGACTATATAGTTCTTACCTTTTGGGGGGGAGCACAGAAGTATAATAATGAAACACACAAGTGCAGAACTACAAAAATATGATAAATAAAGAGCCCTGAAAGAGTCCTTCCAGCTCTCACATGCTGCCAATACTCACATTCACTGATGAAACACAAGTATAGGCACATGTACCTACATAGAGTACTATATACTGTCACACAAATACCCATGCCTTCTCCTTCACCAAAGAGGAAATGCCCTTGATTCATTGCAAGTCTGAATGTAACATAAACCTCCTTCAAGCTTCCCTCTCAGAGAGGTGTCAGCAAGGCAGTTGTGCCTTGCACTCAAATACCTAGACAGAAAACTGTCCCATGTAATTGCTACACAATTGGAGAAGCACAAGATAAACTTGGAAATGTTCCTGGTAGAGACTAGTACAGACCTTCAGCATACAGTGAGCAAGCATTTAAAGGTGATGACTAATGGCCTAAAGGGATTAGACATCCGAGGCTGGGGGAAAAAAATGCTACATAATATTTCCTTAGCAATTTCCATTTTACAATGTGTTTTCCATATCTGCCATCTTATTTAATTCTCACGATCTTGAGAGACATACATTTTTTTCTCCATTTTGCATCCAGGGCACAGGCTTTGGAATCTGGCTACCTAAATGAATCCTGGCTGTACTTTTCTTAGCTGTGTGACTTGGGAAATGTCTTAGTTTCTCTAGCTGCAGTGACTTCATCTTTAATACTATTAATACTATTAGCTACCCCATAGAGTTGCTGTGATAGTTAAATGAATTAAGATCTATATGTGCATAAAACACAAATAAGTGCTTATGTGCACAAGTGATAAAAAATGTTGTTATTACAAATGAGGAAATAGTTTAGAAATTAAACTCTCCAGTGTCATAAAAATTTTCTATTTTATGAATAGCCACAAACATGTACACTATCATAAATTCCTATGCACAATGACACATAATAAACATACAGGCATATGTACATGGAATGACAATTGACACGGCCCAGGCTGAAATTATCATCTTCTTGGTAGCAACATGATATAATGTAAAGAACCAGAACTTTTAAGTCATAATAATTTAGGATAAGTATTATTTTACATTGTGTTTAAATGAGATGCTTTATATAGCATCTGGGATTTAGTAGTCACCTGATGAACATCAGTTTTCCTTCCTTCTAATTGCTGACATCTTTCCTCTTCAAAGATTAATTTATCATTGTTATTTGTTATTGTTGTTGCTTAATTTTGTTTTACCATATACTATAAGAAGAGAAGAAAAAACCCATAAAATTACTTTATAACCACTTGGATGTTTTATTGTAAAGTGGAAAGAGCTACAGCACCAGAAAAAATAGGTTATAGTTCTAGATTCATCATTTATTGGTTATATGACCTTGAGCAAGTCATCTAATTTCCTGAGTCTCAGTTTTCTTATCTCTTAAATAGGAATCATCTCTTCTTTGGGTCCCTCATTAATTTGTCATGAACATCAAATGAGATAAAAGGTGTGTAAACTTTTCACTTGGGCAAGGACTTTTTTTCCAGCTGAACCCCAGATAGTGGCCAGACTGATGAGAGAAAAGGAAGGGAAAAGTAAAAGGAAAAATAAAATGGGTAAGATGAGCAAGAATCCTGGGAAAAAGTAAAAGGAACATTTTTTTAAAGTAAAAAGAAAAGCAAAGGAAGAGGCACACACAAGAAGGAAAAGAGTTCTTGTCTACGTTGAATTAGATATAGTTTAGTTTTTGTACATTGAGACTGAGGCAACCTCTAGAGAAGATCAACGAATAAGTCATGCTTCCTCTATCTTTACTCCACCTTCCTCAATTGGGCCTGGTCCCCCTCATTTGCATTTCTATTTTTCCTAGAATTTGCAAGTTATTCTTTAATATGCAATGCTCTTTCCTCTGCCTTCATTTCCTTTTCTGAGTTAGGCTACACTGGGCTGAAAAGGCTCATCCTAGACAAAGGATTACTAAACTGGAAAAAGGAATATTGAATTGCTCTTGGGACCTTGTCTCTAATCTTTCAATTAGCCTTCCTAATAGAACCCTCCACCAAGATTCACCTTTTGGTCCTCTGCTTTCTTAACCTACTGGTTTGAAGTTAAAGACCTTGATTCAAATTCCATCTTTTGCCTGTAATAGCTATGTGAACTTTCAATAAATCATTTTCACCTGAGTCTCAGCTTTCTTATCCAAAAAATGGGGGTGATATTTATCTAACAGGATCATTTTGAGGCTCAGACAATATAATAGATGTTTCAGTTCCTAGAAAATGGCTTGTTTGGCATATAATAGATGCTCAGTAATGAAAATGCAGTATAGATTCATACATTCATAAAACCTTTAGAAACCATCTTTTTCAGCCATTCTGATGTGATATATAAAAAACTGAGACTAGAGAGGTACAGAGATTTTGTTCAAAGTTAGGCAGCCAGTTACTGGAAAAGCCAGATTTTGAATCCATGCTTCATAAAAAATTTCTGCTATATAGACACTAAGATTGAAAAATAATTCAGATTTTTAGCTTAATTCAACTCTTATTTACTGGCTTATTCTATGCCAATCTGTTCTCAAAGTATGAAACCACACATAGTTGTTTAAATGTGTTTGAGACTCCCATTTATATAGTTCGCAAATCCATCACCTCAGTAAACTCCTCAACCTGTGAGACAGAAGATTAATAAGCTGTTTTGATAGGAAAATAAACTTTTCTTTATGACTCCAGGATTGAATCTGAAAACAGTCAAGACAGAGTGGTCCTAACCATTTTGGTGAGAGGGAAAAAAAGGAGCCTATTGTCTCCTTTAACTTCCCTGCACACCCGGCCAAACTGCCTCCAACTTTTTGGCTACTGACTTTCTCTCCCAGTGGCCCAGAACTCTTCTACACCCTGATGAATAAAGGTGTTTGCAGGGGAAGGCAGGTGAGGTAGGATTTAAAAAGAGAGAAAATAAATCTTACCTTTGCTAGAGAAAACCTTTTCATGCTCATGTCAGCGACTCATTGATGCTGAACTGCAGACTCCAGCCTGAACCTGCCAGCCCTGCTGGGTCAGTATCCTGGGTTACAGGGCCTTTCTCATAAATTAAGTCCAGGACTCCAATTTGGCGAGGGTTGCAGTGGGCGAATAGGGGAGGGGGCAGTACTGGGTGCCCTCCTTTCCAGAAACAAAACTACCCGGAATGTCTTGTTCCTTCCGGGCCTGGTTTGGCACAAAACCCGGGATGGTTCTTTGACCATATCCGGGTATTTTCCAAATCCTGGTTAGGATCTCAGGAGGAATTACAAGGGGGTGGTTTGCATTTCTGTTATCGCAGCTAGCTAGTTGATCTTTGCTGAGACAGGGAGGAGAATGCCTTGTCAGTGTGACCAGTCAAAGCTCACAAGAGGATTCCAACAGCCCCATTTAAGTAATGGGGCCTTTTACAAGGATTACTAGAAGAGTAAAGATTCTTTATCCCCACCAGCTCTTTACCTTCTTGGCCTGAAGCACAATTATCAATTATCAACTCTACGTGTTACTCTGAGATCATGACTGCTTGGTAACAGATAAAAATAAAACTGGTAATAAAACAAAGAGGTTTTTTTTTCCTACATGTCATGTCTTTTGTTAACCACTTTACATGCATTCCCTTATTTAAGTCTTACAATTATCCTGTCAGATGGGTACTCTAATTTTGTCTATTTTACAACTGAGGAAAGTTAGGCCTTGAGAAGTGAGGTAATTTGTCACAAAATTAAGAAGTAAAAAATGTCAGAATCGTACTGAGTCTATCTAGACTATTAGCCATGAAACTACCACACTGTGTTTGCATAAATAAGTAAATATATAGTAAATAATGAGAGTCATGTTTACATGTGCACACACACACATTATGTGAATGTATAAATGATAAAATGTCAATAAATTTAGTAGAGTATACTAATAAATAAGCACAGGAAGTTATTTGGAGATGGGGAAGGGACTTCACAATCACTGAGTACCTACTGTCCACCAATCACTACTAGATTATTTATATGCATTAACTCTGCCTTTGTCATTTCTAGCAGATCCTAGAGGGAAACTCCAGGACTATATTAACTATTTCCATTTGAGAAAATGGTCATCAATAGATCATAGTCTAAATATAACACAGGACAACAGCAACAATCTAAAAACTTAAAAGACCCAGAAAAATTTGAAACACTTTTTTTAAAATGTAAAATGATTCCTAAAAATTCAGAGTGAAAGTGGAGTCTAGGTTTGTTTAAAGCCAAAGGCCATCTCTGTTCTTGATGAAAAAAGCAAGCAGTGAAAAATCACTGGCTTGAGACAAGTGACCTAGGTTCTTTGGCCTGGATCCTTCTCTTTTCTGGGCCTCTTTCCATTTCTACAACAAAGGTTTTGAACTAGATATGGGCTCTTTAAACTCTAAATTTGCACATCTAGAATTCCATAAAGAAAATTCAATATAGGTACTAATACTAAGAATACAAAAGAAAGGTTTCAAAGACCAAAAAATAACATAAGGAAAGAATAAGGAGTAATTTTCAGAGATAAAGCTGAAAACGCCATACCTCTTTGAAAAGAACTGTATCTACCCACTAAACCAAGTATAGGAAGGGGGTGGCTATAACGGTGGTTCTACCACCTGTTATCCTTACTTTGTGATGAGGAGATCTTGGTTAGCAGCAAATACTTTCCTCCAGGCAGGCTCAACACATTTTCCTCTCCTGAATTTAAAGCATGTGGAGCAGAGTCCAGGGGAAAAATCTTTCAGAAGACTGATCTGATGGGGCAAAGTCTGGATCATAAACCACTAGAGGTTCTTAAGGGTACTCAGACACTTAGGAGCTGCCCCTCAGACTTCAGCCCAGGTCAAACCAAGTGGAAGCACCGGTAGGAAGAAGGGAGGAACCACTAGCCTCAGCTCTCTCAGAAATGCTCACTTATCAAAGGAAGCTTGGTCAGGGCACAGCAGTCACTAGCGTTATCTGCCTGGCATAAATGTGAACCTTGAAGCTAGACGGGAAAGGTGGAGTCCAAACCCATTAAGCTGGGATCCAAGTCCAGGCTCTAAGGCATTTATGGCAGGGAGGGGAAGGGATAAGGCCTCCTCTCTGACTCATGAAAGACAACAAGAAGCAGGTCATTATAGACACACTTGAGTCAACACAGTGAAGACCACAGGAGGTCAGCTAAGCCAGGTTTCCTGACTTGTATTATTCATTTGCCAATTTCACTGAGAGTAATCACAGTGCCACCTCTACCACAGATCTTGGGTACATTTCTGGTGTCTTCTCCTAGGGGGCATTGGAAAAACATTTTAGAGTTCATGACTACAGGCCAGGGCTTGGTAAACTTTTTTCTGTAAAGTGCTATTAGTAAATATTTTATTTGCAGAACATGCAGTTTGTCTTCCACAGCTACTCAAATCTGCCATTGCAGCATTGCAGTTCACAAAAAAAGTGCGTGTGTGTGTGTGTGTGTGTGTGTGTGTGTGTGTGTATGTATTTACAAAAAACAAGCAGCAGGCCAGTTTATAGATTTTTTTGTAATATAGACATTTGCAATATGGCAGCATTAAGAGCATGAAAACTGAAATTAAATATTCTGGGTTGAAATTCCAACTCTGCTGTTTTCTGATTCTGTTATTAAAGTAACTTAATCCTTCTAAATCTCAATTTTCACCTTAGTAAAATGGGATAATAATATTACATATTTCATAGGGCTAATATGAGAACTTCAATATGGTTATTCACATTAACTAATTAGCACAGTGACTGGCACATTGAAAAAAAGCAAAAATAGAGGTTATTTTTAATTTATAACTTTTTAAAATCCAAATTATTGTTTCTTCATTCTTAAAACACAAGTTGAATTAATTTATGGCAAAAAAGAAGAATGTTTCAATAATCCTGGCTTTATGGGTTAGTCATGCTACTAAAAAGTACACAATGATCCTGAACCAATCATTTTGCCTTTCTGGGACTCAGATATTTTATCTGGAAGAAATGGTGCAGATGTGACTTTTCCAAAATTGATTTTTACCAGAAGAAATCTTTCCCCAGACAGAGTCTAGTAAACACCCAATATCTTGAAAGTGGAGCTGTTCTAGGTAAGGCAGGGAAAGAGACAAGAATGGGCAAAGCTGAGAGGATCCAAGGACCTGTCCACTGGATATGCCTTCCCTGACAGATATGGTAATTAACCCGGGAACACCAGCAAGGAAACTTCAGGACACTAAAAACAGGTTTGAAAAGCATAAGTTCAGAATGTCCTTAAGGGGACTTCAAGTCTTTTTTTTTTTTTTGAGTCAGTGTTTCACTCTGTCACCCAGGAGATTAGAGGACAGGCTTACCACAGTTCACCACATCTCAGCTCACCACAGCCTCGACTTCCTGGGCTCAGACAATCCTTCCACTGTAGCCTCCTGAGTAGTTGGGACTACAGACGCACACTACCATACCACTATATTCAGCTTCAGCTTTTTTTATTTTGTAGAAATGAGGTCTCACTGTTGCCCAGGCTGATCTCAAACTTCTGAGCTCAAGCAATCCTCCCTCAGCATCCCAAATTCTGAATTTATAGGTGTGAGGCACCATGCTTGAAGACTTAAATTCTGTTACTACCCCATCCTTTCATTTATTCATTTAGCCAATCAATATTTCCGCGTAACCTATGTATTGACCATCATAAGGGCATGGCCTTGGGGTAGCTACAGAGATGAAGGAATCTCTGGTACCCTCATATTAGAAACAACATTGTCCAGTGTGAGAAGCATGGGACTTGGAGTCTGAAAGACAAGACTAGCTGGCTTCTTTTGGGCTATGTGACTCTGGACAAGTCACTTAGCTTTTCTGAGCTTCTGTTTCTTCGTCTGTAAAATAGGAGCAATAATACTTCCATGACTGAAATATTATGAAGGTTAGATAGATTAACGTTTGTGTGAACCTTTAGCACAGAGCTCAGTGTGTTGAGGACGCGCAATAAATGTTCTATTCCTTCCCATCATCCCCACAATGAAATTTCATGACATTATGCAGTTCCTGGAGAAAATGAAAAGCCATGGGCAGCGCCCTGGCATATTTGGTTTAACTGCTTTATCTCAGAAACCTCTGATGAGCTTGCCCTTAGCAAGAAGGCCTTTAGAAAAAGGTGTAGGGGTGCAGGAAGAAGGGTTGTTCCCCAGAGACCACACCTCTTAAACCACAGATTTCCCTTTTCATTCCCCAGCACTACTTCTGACCAGCAGACTCCATACTGCTTTGAAAAGGCTGCTCTGCACTGCTGTGATGTGAGAATATCCTGGGCTCACTCTGGGGACACTGTTTGGTTCTTGAACTCTGGTTCTTTAATTCCACTTGCTGTTTTCTCCAGTCATACAAGGCAGTCGGTCTCTAACTTGAGCACCCACCAGAATACCTGAAGGGTTTGTTAAGACACTGAGTTTCTGCCTCAGTTAATCTTGTCTGAGGCCCAGGAACTCACATTTCTGACAAGTTCCTAGGTGATGCTGATGCTGCTGGTCTTAGGACCACACTTTGAGGACGAGAACGACTGCTCTAAAGAACTCTTGCTTGAGCTCCCAACTCCCTTGGTCTTCAGGCGTCCACTCTTTGGCCCTAGGCCAGAAATATATTTCTTCAGTTTCCTGGTACCTCATTCATGTGGCATCTCACTGAGGGTCTTTCCAAAAATTATTTGACCACTCTCGCTGCCCCAGAATCTTCCTGCCTGCCTGTGTGAAGCTTTTTCCCCTTCCCTGTTCAGTTAACATGTCTTCCTTTCTGCAGCCTGCCTCTATAAATAGCATCAGCTCCTCCTTCCAACTCTCCTGTACTTTACCATTTGGCTTCCTAATACTGGGCTCTGGGCACAGACAAACCTGGTTTGAATCTTAACTCTGCCTCTCCCTGAAATGTGTGATCTTGGGGAACTCACTTAAGTTCTCTGAGTCTTGTTTGGTCATCTGTAAAATCAGGCTGTGAAAATAAAATGGAAGAATGTCTGGAAAAGGATCTAGTGCAGCACTGTCATATGGTTCAGCAAATGTTAGTCTTTTTTCTTTTCTTCCTCCACTTTCCTCACAGCTGCCTACCCTCACTAATACTAGAAAGGAGCTCACAGCATGTAAGAAAGATAAAACAATGCACTAATAAAGTGTTTCAGTAGTACCAAAGGACATGGTAAGTGAGAGAATAGAGGTCTATATAATGTGGTATAACATTTTATAGGAGGGAGAGGTTATTTATATAACAGACAAATATCTACTATCCAGAAAAATGAGTCAGATTTGTGTTACAAAGATAAATATATATTTATGACAAACTAGTGTAGGCACAAAATGATAAACTACTTATGCAAAAACGTACTAATATAACAATGTTATTCGTTTTCTTTAGTTAGAGTAGATAGATATATGCAATTGCACATTACAAAAAATACATACAACTGCATAATTACGCTTTCCATTACAGAAGATATGTCACTTATGTAAAACACACACAAAAACATATGCATACAATGATACACACTAATACAATCATAAAAAGGTCTTAAAAGGTAGGGAACAGTGTGTGTATATAAGGATTGAGGTGATAGTCAAAGGGACATCATTAGCCTAATATGTAATGCTTTTATAGTTTGAAAAAATAATGTTACAAGAAATTACTTTAATATAAACTAAATATTAGTTCTTCCAATTCATGAACACAGGATATATTTCCATTTATCTGTGTTTTCTTCAATTTCTTTCATTAGTGTTTAATAGTTTTCAATTTTACACCTAAATATTTTAAATTTTAAATATTTTAAATTTTGTTGCTATTGTAAATGAAATTGTTTTTTCTTCTTTTTTTCTCTTTTAAGTTTTATATATATAAAGATGTGAGGTATAATTCAGGATTAGGTATTCAAATGGTCATCGTACAGGTAATGTTTGGGCCTCCCTTTGGTCACTACTTTGCCTGGTTTGAGATCAGGTACCCTTATTGATGTTATGTGCCCCCATCCCATCCCTCCTCTGGCAGTGTCCCGCTACTGCCAATCCCTTGCTTATAGTATTATGGTAAATGTTCAGGTTCCACTTATGAGTGAGAACATGTGGTACTCTGTTCTCTGTTCTGATCACTGAGTATTATAGACTCTAAATCCAGCCAAGTTGCTACAAAATCCATATGTTTGTCCTTCTTTATGGCTGCATAATATTCCATTGTGTATATGCACCACATTTTTTATCCAGTCCAGTTTCGATGGGCAGTACAGTTGGTTCCATGTTTTTGCTATTGTGAATGCTGCTGCAATAAACATGTATGTGCAGGTATCTTTTTTGTAGAGTGATTTAAGTACCTCCAGGTATAGTCCAAGAAGGGGGATTTCGGGTCGTATGAAAGGTCAATTTTAGTTCTTTTAAGAATCACCACACTGTTTTCCATAGAGGCTGAATTAGTTTGCATTCCCACCAACAGTAAAGAAGTGTTCTCTATTCTCTGCATCCTTGCCAGCATCTGTTGTTTTTGGTTTTATTAATGATGGCCATTCTTACTGGAGTTAGGTGGCATTTTTTTTTTTTTTTTGAGTCAGACTCTCACTGTTGCCCAAGCTGGAGTGCAATGGCACACTCATGGCCACTGCAGCCTCAACCTGCTGGGCCCAAGTGATCCTTCTACCTCAGCCTTCCAATAAACTAGAACCACAGACATGTGCCACCACATCCAACTAATTTTTTGATTTATTGTAGAAACAGTGTCTTGCCAAGTTGCCCAGTCTGGTCTTGAACCCCTGGGCTCAGGCAATCCTCTCACCTCCACCTCCCAAAGTGCTGGGATTACAGGCGCTAACCACTGTACCTGGCAGATGGTATCTCAATGTGGCTATTAATTATGGAGGGGGGAGCTGTGTCCCTGTTTTTAATCCTATCATATTAAAAACAGATTAAATGTGTCTATACTACCAGTTCCACATAAGGATTCAAACCCCAGATGAT